CGAAGGCCTTTTCTGGCTTATTGGTCGTCATCAGGTGGTGATACCCAACTCCAGTGTTGCCGCTCAAATTGCTGCCACACTCGAGTTTTCGACTCGCAGATTCTCCGGTCAGGCCTAACGTCCTAACCACTGAGCTACGAGCTCAGTCTTGCCGGTATTAGATCGGGGATATTTAGTAGCAGACCGATGTACGCATATCTGCTATTATAATTTAGTTGTCGCAAATAAATCTCTTCTTCAGTCTAATGGGCACCCCTTCGCGATTTTTACAGTCGACTTTTCTGAAAGATCCGGTTTGATGCTAACTTCGAAAACCGAAGGCGTTATCGTTTTTTTACCTTCTCATCCGTGTTTGGATGATGTGAAAACTCAACTTATTTCTTATTAGGAGGTTTGGCAGATTTGCTTAATTTTGAGTTGACCCAGTTCTGAAAAAACTTATCTCATTATAGTTCAACAATCTCGTGACAGTAAACGGTTTTTTATTTAAAAGGCGGTTGTGACGCTTCCTATGATGCATACTGTTCTAATTTTATTTAGGTATGTGAGCTGTGAAATCTAATGCGTATAAGTTCTCATTTCGAATGGAAGCGAATATGCGTGTCCCAGCTTCTTGTTGTAAAGAAAACAAAGTCCCGATGCACTATCTTGAACAAGCCGAAAAAAAGGAGAAATTTTTAAAGAACAGCACTTGTATTAGACTAATACAAGTGCTGTTCTTTAAAAAGTTCTCCTTTTTTGGCTTGTTCAAGATATCTTTGAGTAGGGGTTCAGCTAACGAAAAACACGCTAATTAGAAGAATATAGAATGATAAAAGTCTTTAATTTCAGTCTCCTAAAGCTTTTCCAAAACCTCTATTTTACTTATAATTAAAACTAATATCATGCTCACAGTTTTATGCCCTCTGACTTTTGTTTTCATGTTAAGTAATTACCCTCAGTCATCAACTCCCATTTTGTGTTTTTGATCTATGCACAGGTAACAAATATAAAATCGAGGAACTAGTAGGGTGCCATCGGCGGGGGGAGGAACATATAGTATGAAAACTCTACTTACTTCCACCGTGTCCGGGTCCATATCATGTCTGTCAACGTACTTCTGCAACTCCGGTCTGGTGATGTAACCATCATGGTCCACATCTATGGCCTCGAATTCAGCCGTAATGTTCGATAAATTGTCCATTGTATTCATTTTGTAGGCTGAAAGCTTTCGTTCCTGAGACTGCCCTTTTTTATGTGTGTGGTCTCACACTCACAATCGTCCGCACTG